AAAAGGAACCATACTGAAGCTGTAAAATATTTGATCTTCTTGCTGTTATATGCCAATTAGACCAGTGATGACATATTAAGAAATACAGATAGTAATGCGTACCATGTTGAGAAATCGAAGGGACAGAATTAACAGGCGCCAAAAACCTATCAAAAGTCTTGACAGCCTTCCTCGTTCCCGGATAGAAATTTAACTCAGCCTCTCTTGGGCACAATCAATCAGTAGATTCTGGAGAACTTTTATTAACTTTTGTGTGGCCAAAACTAGTTTGGCTGATTAGCTGTAGACTCGAAGTTTATATTCGTTGCGTTGTTGACAATGTAATAAGAATGAAATTATATTCATTTATTAAAGTAAAGAACGGTGAACCTGTGGTCGGTGCCAAGATAGAGTGGCTGGCGATTAAACCAAACGGAAAGACGATCGAGTTGGACGACACTGAACTGTCCATGTCCTATACATCCGAGCCCAATGACCTGGAGCCTGGGGTTCATCAGCTTCGTTTGGTAAAGCTATCGCGCAGGCCCAACTACTTCTTTCTTCTCTGCACGGCAGAGGTAGAGCCGGAATTGATTGCCCATCTCAGTGAAGTTGATATATCGGATCAAGGGGCAATTGGAGCCAAACAGACGCAGCGCTTCTTCTCCGCCCCGGTCCAACTTCATATCGTCTCGCCCGGTCTGCGCGCTCGAGTCTGGCCGGTGACAGGACCCGGCTTTGTTACGGGCAACGAGGGAGACGTTATTACGTTGAAGTGCAGTGGTGAAGGTGAGCAAGTAATCCTGAACTGTCACTTGTAGCTTAGGTGAATTTAAGTCACCAAACCAACTGAAAATACAAAGGATTTCGATTAGTTGTGGCACAAGGGGACTATAACACTTTAGCTCAATATAAAGAGTTAAAAAGATATAAAACAATAGACAGCCTATTCTTTTTTGAGCAAGAAATTAAATTTGAAAAAATATGTATTATCTTAATATTTTATTATGCTATCATGTAAACATGTAGTTCCTAAA